TCATTTTTTTTTTTCTCCAAACCCCCCCCCCCCCCCCCTCTCCCTTTAACTCCTTTGTATAAATAGAAATATTAGGTCAACTTGCCCCCTCAGGGCATAGCCAGTGGTACAAAGTATAGGAGTGAGGTTATCTCACGCATTGTTGGCAGCTGCAGTATGGGGGTTCGAATCCTGTGACATGGAATTGGCATCCTTGCGGGCGCAGTGTACAGGCAGCTTTTTTTCCTTGACCTGTTGGGGCACATCCCGGGATTTACCTCCCTCACAAAGCTTTAAGGGCGGGGTGGTGAAAGCCCTCAAGGTTGGGGTTCAATATTTTATATATATATATTAGGTCAACTTAATACGCTTCTGAACTTGTATCCTCAACAAAAAATTTGCCTAAAAAATGCACAATACGATTAGGCTTGGTATGATTTCACAGAATGGTGTCGAGAACTGAACTAGTTCTTTGTTACGTTATCTTTATAATATTAATGGGGGAAAGGGTCACATGGGCTCCATGTGCTCGACAGACAGTCATTTCCTACCCTTGAAACTTGCTTTGCCACACACTTATACAACTAACTGCCTTTATGTGAGAACAGTGGGGACACCTTTCTATTTCTCTCTATGTCTTAATCACTTATTCATCACAAGTTTCATTCACAGAACATGGAATGGCCTTCAAAGCAGGCACTCCATGGTCCCAGCCTGAGTTTCCATCTCAACTTGTACAAGAATTTGACCTCGAAATTATAGAAAAATGATTTAGGGTCTGTTTGGTATTGCTTTTATTTTTGCTTCTTGTAGAAGAGTTTTTTTGAAGAAAGTTATACCTTGATTTTTGCTTGAAAACTAATTTTTAAAAAAGCTTCCTATTCCAAAAGTGCTTCGAGAGAGAGTCACATTGAACCAATTTCCACTAAAAGTTCTTCTAATTTAAAGAATCACTTTCATAAAATTAGTCAAACGGGTCTAAAAGCATCTTTTGGATCTCAAAAACTCCTTTTAACTTTTCAAAAATTATCATAAATGGACCCTCAGTATATCGTCATTGTCGTTAGATTCTCGAGCTCAACCTAATTGACCCTTTTCATCCACATAATTTGGGGTGGCCGTTAAAATAGGTCGTTCCATGGTCCTGTCTTATAGTCTCATCTCAACTTGTATTCTTTATCTTAGTCGTGTCAATTACAAAATTTATTGAGAAAATGTTTCATTTGTTGTTGTTAGATTCTTAAGCAAATGTTTGGTTGTGATTAAGAGTAAGTCTACCTCAGTTAAAGCATGTCTGAATGGAGCTTTATAACTTAAGAATAAACCCCATTTTTTGGTCAAAATTGCATCAAATTAGCATGCGTGAGATCCAAATATTAAAAGACAATTAACATACCTAAGTGGAACTTATTTTCACTTAAAAATCGTGCGTTTCACCCCGTTAAAAATTGATAGATTATTTATCATGCATTCTGAAGTTAAAAACTTTTCAATTATATTGATTAACTTTATTAAAATTTGGTGCCATTGCCTAAGTGGATATCTCATTGAAATCTTACTAGTCTTGGAAAGAATTTGTTGAAATTTATTTAAGTCAATGATTGAACTTCACTTTTTCTAAATTGACTTCATAATTTAAACTTTCCTACAATCAAGTTGCTTCATCTTTTTCTGAACAACAGTATAAAAGTTGATGTAACATGATAAATCTAATTTAGATACATAATCAACTGTCATGTTAGGGCTATCTATGTTGCCAAGCTAACGTATGTAAACAATAAAGCTGAAACAACAATATTAATTTCCCTAAATTATAATTGGGTGCATACGTTTTAAGAACCCATAATTTTGGCATTGAATTAATTTGAAGTGCTTGAATGGAAATTCTTTTAGCTAAAATGAAAAACAAACAAGATAGTATTTATAAACATTTTACCTAGTCAAGTCAAAAAAGATATTGAGGGCCCGTTTGGTAGGGATTTTGAGAATTGATTTTTTGACCGTTAAAAGAAAAGTGGGGACCATATGTGAGAGAAGAAGTCAAAAATTACGGCTTGAATAGTGAAAAAAGGTCAAAAAATCAATTTTTGGGGGCAAAAAATCCCTACCCAACGGGACCTGAAAGTATGATTGCTTTATGGATAGTTATCCCCCAATTTTGCTAGAGGGCTGCTGCATGTACATCATAATGTACAGCAGTTTGACAGTGCTATCACATATAGAGGGTGGGGCCAGCAATTAAAACGTTGGCCCCACCTTTGTAGAGGGCTGTAAAAATTAACAGCATTTTTGATTCTGCTATGTGTAGGGATGTTAAAAAAGCTCGTTGACTAGGGCGGCCCGTTGCTCGGTTCGGGAAAAGCCCGTGCCGGCCCGGCTCGTGGCTCGGACCAACCAAGCCAAAGCTCGGGCCGAGCCCCAAAAGGGGGCAATCGCCCGAGCCCAGGCCGGCCCGTTTAATTTAAAACAAAAAATAAAAAAAATAGGCTGTCGGCAGCTATATAGCTGCCTGTTGGCAGCAGTTAACCTGCTGCCAGTTCGGCAGCAGTCTAGCTGCCAACAGGCAGCTTTATAATTAAAGCTGCCTGTTGGGCAGCAATTACGAGAAAAAAAATTAAAAAAAAAAAAAAGAAAGTTTCGACTCGCGAGCCGGCTCGGCTCGGCTCATTTACACCCCTAGCTATGTGTATAGAAAAAGGTTGCCAAAATAGTTATAGGATACACTTGACAGTATTCTAGTGAACAATGACAATTCCTCTTTGCAATGAAAACTGTTGTACCCCACACAAAAAAAATAAAATAAAAATTCAAGAAGTGCATTTCATAGGTAGTGATAGATAATACAATAATTTTTTTCTTAAAAATTATCCCGTACTACGGCATACTAGACATGATAGGTTCCAAAAAAACCTTGTAAATTGGGAGGGAGGTTCCTAACTTTAAAAAAACAGACCATATAACAGGAGAGGAGAAATTTTCTTGAAAGGACCCATATTGTCCTAAAGAAATGTAACATCAAGTAATAAACCCAATGCCATTGGGTCCCAACATGTTTTGAACTAAACACAATCCCCAAAACACTTGTGGTCTCTCCTTTGCCTCCTCAACCCCACATGCCACTGATTTTATCCCTATTCTCTACCCTAACTTTATATAACCCCTTGCAATTCCTTTTTCCCACCACATCTTAATTTCCAATCTAGTTGTTTCGAGTTGAGTCGAGCCGAGTCATTGCTTCTCTTTCTATTATTTTTGAAGTAGCTGTTTTAAGTTTAAGGACTCAAATTCTCGTCTTATACCCCTCGCAAACATCCTTCCTACTCGAGTCGTTGCTTTTCTTTTTCTGTTACTTAGAAAACCCCAGCTTCAACTTCATCCATCCAAATTCTCGATAATCCGAAAAATGGCAATTAGAAAAGCCAACAAAATTTCCCAAAGTGCTGTTTTAAAGCAGATATTAAAGAGATGTTCAAGCTTGGGGAAGAAAGTACAAGGATATGATGAAGGAGGGCTTCCTGTGGATGTGCCAAAAGGTCATTTTGTAGTGTATGTAGGAGAAAATAGAAGCAGATATATTGTTCCAATCTCATTCTTGACAAGATCTGAATTCCAGAACCTTCTTCAACGTGCAGAAGAAGAATTTGGGTTCGATCATGAAATGGGACTCACTATTCCTTGTGAGGAATATGTTTTCCAGTCTCTAACATCCAAGCTCAGAGAGAGATCAGAGAGAGAAACTTGAGTTATTCTTTCAAGAAAACACTACAAGAGATTCTTGAAACTGCTTCTGTATTTTATTTTATTTTTATTTTTGGATTTTTTTCCCTACAACTGATTGGCTAATTGAAAGAAACCCTAATCGCCACTATCATCGATTGGGTTTTCTGATTATGTAAATCTTGAAAAATTTTAGATTTTTTCTCATAGAGGTGTTTGGTTGTACGTTGCAACTTGTACCCTGTGAGAGTACTAATGTAGAATGATTTATGGGGAATTTATATAATGACTGCATGTCACTTTTCTCTTTTATTCTTTTTCAGTTTTTGGAATCTTCATTGAATCAAAACATTGTTGAATTTAAATCTAATTTAAAGCAATTATGTTTGATTGAAGACATGAATATTGTATACAATTTTGTCCAAGTTTTTAGATACTAAAGTAACTAAACATCCCCTTAAATTGTTAGAGAATAGAAAATAATTTATCATACATGCATATTTGACACTTTCGTTTGGGTAGATCGGATTTTTTACGTGAATCGAGGATATTAGAATTTATACGTTATTTACTTATATTATAAAATATCTGCAGCAATATTAATGGGGAAGGGGGAGAATGATGGCTCTAAAAGTTTGAAGGTAGAAGTGGTAAATAAATTTTTTTTTTTTTTAAATGTTGACATCGATTTTTATAGGAGTATCATGATCAAAAGTGGTCGCGAGTACTTTGATGATCAAGTCAATCTATTTATGAGCGACTAGTTGGGTGTTGGATATGCTAAAGATGCGAGCCACTAAATAAAAAGTCTAATATGAGAGTTTATGTAAAAGGGATCGACGGAGCAAACATATAGCTGGAGTGTATGAAGTTGCATTACCTTCAAATTGCACTAAATGAGAACTTTTATAATAGTAGAGGAGAAATAATAACCATTGGATGAAGAAAACCATGGCCTCATCTGAATGGCCGAGACGCTTTGTCATAGGCATTATTCGATCAATTCTAAGCTCAGGTGCATTTAATGTTTGGCTTACTCATGGGAGTTTGGCGGAATACATCACTTCGACTACTAAGGGCATCACTTTGTCCACAAGAATTCATCTAGGCCGTGTAGGATAGTGATGTGGAGTGCGGGCCTCATTTTGTTTGCTAGTTGTTTTCCACATGGTTCGTGTATGGAATCCCATTAGAAAAGGCGTAATGGAAAACAAAGCATGTATCTAAGGTTTGTTTGGCAACAAAATTTCTAAGATTATTTCTCTTTGAAATTATTTTTTAATCATATATTTTATAGAATCATGACTTTTCCTCCCTTTTTAGCTGCACATTTATTAAAAAGTTATTTTTCATTTGAGAAAATATATGTTAAACAATACATCTAGTGCCTATAGTGCCAAGGTACACTCCATTTTTATTTTAAAATTTGTAGTAGATGTCACAAGTCTTTAAAAAAATTACGGTTAGCTTTTAAACTTTCTCATCTTTAACCCTTACATTTCAAACGCTTCATAAATTTGCATCGAACCTTTGGATGGTTTTCATCCAAAAATTTGTCAATTGATCAAAAATTTAACATTTGACCACTTTTAAGAAGTGCAAAATGGTCTCTTCATTTTTCATTAATGAAAACAATAAAGAAAAAGAAAAGAGGGTAGAGCAAAATGTCGTTTTCTCCAAACTTATCCCCACCCACATTTATTAAAGGAAATCATCTAGAAATTCTTTCGACGCACATTTATAAAAATGTTTGGAATATAGGTGTTAGGATTAAAAGATTTGGGATCTGACTATACATTTTTAAAAGGTTTGAAATTTCTACTGCAAATTTTCCATTTTTATTTGAATGTACATAACTAAAAAGGAAGACGTGTGACATAATTTTTCATTGTCATGACTAATTTTGTTGAATTCAGAGCACAAAACGTTCCAATTACGTATGCTGCATAAAGGAGTTAGAATTAGTTGAAAATGTCAATGTCTTAACTAATTTATAATGCAAATATAAGTTTCATAATTATCACAACTTGAGGTGAGTACTCACCTGTAAACTTTAGGGTTCCGTGAGATTAGTCGAGGTACGTGTAAGTTGGTCCGGATACACATGGTCATAAAAAATAATAATATATATATTGAGTTACTTGTGTTGCACAAAAATCTTTAACTTTGTGTTTCTACTTGCGCTTTAATTTCAAGGTGGGGAATATGATAATGCATAATTATTCAAAATCAAATAACTAGTTCAGTTTGACCAGCGTTTTTCGTTTATATTGAGTGTTAATTTATGAAAATCTAGTCATAGGCTAAACATTAAACAAATTAGTACTCAATTAAGTAAATAATTCATAGATATTTTGAGAAAAACATAAAGGAACTAATTAAAATAAATGTGTAGTTTGATCTTGAATTTGAATAAAGAATAAGAAAAACCGCGTGGAAATTTTGTTCGCACGTTTGATTACAAAGAAGAATATGAGAAATTTGATTCGATAAATGAAATCAAAGAGAGAGACAAATGTTAGAATTTGAGCAAATCATCCTTTTCGAGGTACTTAACAAAGTATGTTCTCAAATTTTAACTTAATTGAGTGCTACGAAAACTCTCTCAAATGATCTTTAAATCAGTGATTTTCGGGCTCAGTCAATGTACTTTTCTCAACCAACAACCAATCCAATCGGTTCCAAACCAAAACTAATCTAATTCACCTCGGTTGCTATTCAATCTTACCTACGTAGGACAAGAAAAGATGATGATTTATGGCCACAAAGGCTAGGAGAAGACACCACAAATGTATATTATGAAGGAACCACCAATTGCACACGGTAAACAAGCGTTTTATACGCTTCTAGACACTATTTTTCACACACAAAGGGGGCAGCCGGAATTCCACTTTTTCTCACACAAAACATGACAAGAAAATGACTAGAATTATAGTCATTTATATATTATAGGATTAGGCTTTAAGTTTAACCTTTAAAAAGGTAAACAGGCCAATATTTAAGTCATCCAAGAGGGAATGCAATTGGACCGAGTGTAGCTCATAGACTTGGTTGTTGGACTTATTTCATTCATCGACTTATGCTTATGAAATAATATTAATCCACGTTAACATCATGACTTGGGATTTATTGGGTATCAAAAACCCAACAAATCTCCATCTTGATGTCCAATAAATTTGCAAGCCATCAAAACACACAGTTAACACTTGCATAATCAAGTAGCCAATAAAATTGGATCACAGACCTTACCTCGTTTTGATTGCTTGAAACACATAACATACCTGCTCCATATACTCACCAGGGCTAAGGTAAGAAAAAACCCAAGTAGAAGTAATATTTAACAGTAAACAATCAAGAGCAAAAACACAAGCGATGACGATATACTATAGAATAACACACATAGATTTTTCAAAAACACGTTCACATAGAACCATAAATTAACACCAAGTTAATCAAACAACGGTCAACCACATATGCAACACATGCATAAATGACGCTACGAAAAAATCTCACCATACTTATCATATCTCATTCCGTGTTGCTCACACCTCGAAAACACATATCTCCTTTCATCACCCATCAAGCTCACTAAACTGATCATCCAACTCATGTCTAGCTGGTAGGTCACAATAGGTCCTAAGTCCACGAGAAAATCCTCTATCTTCACATCACTTCTCCCAACCTACGTGAATAATGGGTCTCCACCTAACAGAAGTGATAGAAGTGTCTCTCTCACACTCCATCTGATCAGGGTCTCTTTTCAGATAAAGGATTCCAGATATTTGATCGCATCTCCATTCTTGATCCAAATGTCACACTCCACATCCCCGGTACAAACACAATGTACCCCGGACATCTACACTCCATCTCACAAAAAGACACACAACACACTGCTAATGCTTAACCCACTATGCATGCAAACAATTACACTAAGTAATCACATTGCCCCAAATTCATGCAAAGCACATATCAAACATATTGAAATGCAGCATACCATCATGCAACAAATTAGACAATCACACACATGCATAAAGGATCACACACAGATGCACATGCAGTAACTAGGTTTATACTCAATAAACCTTGCTAGGGTCATCACTCGACCCTAAAGCAAAATTCGCATCACTTCTCATCTTACCCTTCAACTTATCTTTCTTCTTGGGACAGTCCCTAATAAAGTGTCCAGACTTGTCACAACTGTAACACTTTCTACCACTAGACTTGTCTCGTCCCTTGTCCTTTTTCTTACTACCCTCATCACTCGAGTCACTACTTGAATCACTACCGTTTTGAGTTCTACCCAAATTCATTTGCTTAAATTTCATCCTACACCTCATCATATGTAACTCGTCACTCCTCTTATCCTCTTTTTCAGTCTCAATCTCCATATTTTTACTCCTAAGCGAGTTTATGACAATCTCGGGTGTTAAGGTTTCCCTACCATACTTAATTACATTCTTAATTTCCCTATATGAATCAAGTATGGAATTAAGCGAGATAATAACCTTGTATGTTTCAGATACCTTTTCATCACAAGTAATGATGTGTTGAACTAACTTGTTAAAGACATCCAAATTGTTATCAAGATCCTTTGAAGGATCCATTTTAAAGTTGAAAAATCGTTCAAGTAAGTACAGTTTATTAGAAGTAGATTTAAGCAAATATAAGTTCTCCAACTTTTCCTAAAGTTCTTTAGTAGAATCAAGTTTTCCTACTTTTCTTAAAACGGTGTCAGATAGGTGTAAAATAATTAAAGTGTATGCAAGTTTATCATACGCTTCTTTTTGTACTTCTGTTAAATTTGCAGGAAATTTGCCATCTATAGCTTTTGAAATTTTTTGATGGACCAAAATACCCTTCATCTGTTGTTGCCATATAAAAAAATCTCATTTCCCATTAAAAATTCAAACTTCAAAATGTGAAGACAATTTTTAAGAAAAACAAAACAACCGAATCACAAATAGATCACACAAAGTAATCATAAAGTCGCAATATACACCGTTCTAGATTTTCAGGTTTCGTAAAATTCACGATCTTAAATCAAGGGAATGTTCGAACGGGTCAAGTTCAGGTGTTCTAATGGGACAATTAATGCAAACACGAAGGTATATTAACAAAAAAATTCAAATTTTCATACAATGCAGACACAGAAGCAGTTATTAACTTACAATTATTAAATCCAACACTTAAAATAGGACAAATAATTCCTAAATTTTCTAGCACAAGTAATGGTTGTCAAGCAATGACAATCCCCAATCCTAATAATCACCCCCACACGATGATTTACTAGTGCAATAATGTAAAAGTTTCAA